GCGCTTCGGATTCTAGAGAGCATTTGATTGGACAGAAAGTTTGCTGAGAAGCTGAAGTACAATGTGACATTAAAAAAAATGTCGAGCCGTTTTGGCGGAAGTGACGAACTGCAAGCTTTGAATGCTTATATCTTCTAAATGCGAATTTTGTCACTGTTTTAACCTTAAGACTAACATATTGATACTAACACCCAAAAAAACTTTAATTTTGATTTCATGGGGACTTTAACATGTTAACATCCACACTGCTTCTGTAGCTGACTGTACTGAGAACATTTATGTTTAGAAAGTTCACCTCAGGAGGTTTGCCCAAATGCTGTGTCAACACAATGAGGTTAATGAGTGTCTCCGGGTGGCTGCTGTCCTATAGAAGATAAAGGACAAATCAAGACATTTCACCACAGTTAAAAGTGGACCAAAGCCAGCTCATTGAATAATCAATATGCAGCACATCTTTATGAGTTCTGCTTTCAATTTCAATAGTAATTCCAGTTTTGAACCAGGCAACCTGAATTTGCCACCTTGTATAGGTCAACGTTAGAGACTAGCAGAAAAATTAAGCCTTGATTACATTGTGATAGTGCATTCATGATAGAATTTCTAATATGGTCTGAGTTTGGGTTGTTTACTTAGCTTGAAGGTCTTGGATTCAACCAAAAAGTCAATCTATACTTGTCAAACTTGTCAAATTAGACAAAATGTTTTGCCATTTGCTGTGCTGAAATCCAGGCTCTTACTTTGTCCAGAGCATCCTGGAGTACTGACTCAGCCTCATCCCACTTATTCTGAGCCATGTGACTTGCAGCCTGACCGTTCAGCAGCAGCAGTGTGGGCGAGTACTTGTCTGACATTTCCTGGAAGATATAGAACGCATCCTGCAATTTCTCTCCCCCCTGTTGGTAGAAGAAAAATAAGAAACACATTTAATTCCCAGTCGATAAGAGAGAAAAAAAAAATTACAATTGAGCAAAAATGGAACAAATAGCCATACCCAGAGATTTTAAAGAAAAACAAAATCATTTCACATTGTTCAACTCACTACAACATTGTACATATGTAAGTGGAAAAACATTTTTAATTGATGCTTTTAGAAGAAAAACAAGTTATTACATTTTGCTGAAAGTCTAAGACAATTTTTCTTTGGAAAGACATGTAATAACGAATCAGTCAGAATAAAAGCTGTGACACGTCAAACTGCATTCGAACACACCGCAAAAGACTACAGTCAACAGCCAGCTAGCACTTAGGCCCTGTCCAAATACCCACACTTGCAGTCTTCTGCACTTTAGAGCGTGTGCATGCAACAGGAAGTCAGGAAGGCAACAGGAAGGCCCCTCCATATCGGTAGTCATGGAATCCCTAATGTCATCCCCGCTGCAATTTGGATTGGTTAGCCAAGTTCTACCAAGTTCAACCACGTTCTATATGGGTGCCAAATACCCTCAAACGAAAGTAAAAGCAACCTCAATTCTGTTGATTTCTTGAACGCAATGGCAAATCAGAGGCGTTTTAGTTGGTCAGAGTTGTTGTCCACTGCACACTCGTGAATCATCTCATAACAAACAAAGTGCAGATGTGAAGCAAATAATTGATTGTGCAGTATAGAGAGTTTCATGACATGATAACCAAAGCAATGGACGGGACAAAGATATGTGAGAGCACCCTCAGTGATTTAATTCTGGAACGGGGACTGGCCAAGCCTCCATAGACAGTGCGCGTTCAGAGAGAGATCCAGTTCACGGACCAAAAACGTGTGTAAACTTTATTGAGCTCGGGCCATATCAACCGGTAATTTCATTTCCAGTTACAAACGGTAGAAAGTTCAGAATGAATGGTATGCGATTTATGACTGGCTTGAATATAGTCCCACAACTGATCAGTGTTTTTTTTTGTCTCGCATTTGATGTCAATAAGTCCAAAATGGACACATTTCAAGTGACTGGATTTGACAACTGGAAAAATGACAGAAAAATTAATAATTTTTCATCAGAAAAGCATCGTGCACATTTCTGGTTACAAATGAAAGGCCATCAACAGACAATTGAAACGGGAAGTATCGCCATTTAAATCAGCAGCAAGAATAAAAAAAGCTAGTCCACAGTTTATTAAACGTTGGCAACCTCTTTAAGTTATTCTTGACGGTGCTGTATTGACTGCTTTGATGCCGTGCACAGCCCTCTACGAACACCTTGGCAATTGAATCGCCATTGGCTAGTACATTTTTTTGTTTACTCGCCAGACTGATAAAAAAAATATATATATATATATTTGTTTGTAAAATGGCACAGTTTTATAAAAATCTGAAAGTACACTCTTAACATCAGTCAGTCAAGCATTATAATATGATAATCAATATTATTTAATGACAGAACTTTTGTAATTAGAATTAAAACTTGATAACCATGTATGTGAAACTCTGAAGCGCTCAGTCAGTGTGTTCTGTGAGTGAAAATATATCTGTGCTAAACTTAATACTTGGCCTCCGACTCACACTGGCGAGTAAAATCTGAGAATTTATTAGCAATTGGCTAATATTAGACATCATTTAGTTGCCCAGAGTGAAGATTTAGTCGCATATGCGAGTGATTTACTCGAAATGTAGAGGGTTGCGTGCAATAAAGTACAGGTATGCAAACTCACCAAGGGTGAAAAGGGTGACAAACCCCAACCAGGAACTATTCTAAATCTACACGATCTACACGAATCATACAAATGACCCATTCTGAATTCACAATGGCGAATTTCACCAAAAGGTGACAAGTTTGCATCCCTGAAAGTAGGACATTGTTTTGATACTTATATCCGTAATTACGTTTTTGAGAAATACATTTTTGTAGAATTTTTTTTTGCATCTTGCAGTTAAATGTTGCCCATGCCCATCATGCATCATGTTCAGGAAAGCACATGCCCCAAAATCGTGAGATGTCGAGGAAAACATTCCACTGTAAGTTAAATTAATTGGATATTAAATATAATTTGGTAGTAAAAGCAAGAGTATGTGTATTTTGGACATCGTTTACAAATGATTTTATCACTTAATTACAAGCATCACAATTATTAAATTGTCATCTGTTAGAAGGACTTCTGAACAGACATTTAAAAGTTTATTTTGAAGTGCAATGTATTAAATGTACAAAATGTGTAAATAAGGCTCTGTGAAAACTACTTACATTTTTACAACTGCTATGCTGTAAGTATGTCCCACTGGATAAGTAAAGGTTTTACACACCCACTTGAACACTTGTGCCAAATACAGGAAATATGTCATGTAAGTAGACAAGTGCTCAAGTGCAAAGACTGTAAGTGTGGGTATTGGGACATGCCCATACTTTCTGAATCTGCATCAGAGTAAATAACATTTCACACCAGCAGGCGGCAGTAGTCTGTATTCATCTTCAAAAAAAATTAAACCAGAAATAGGATTGCAGATATACAAACCGTAAACAAAGCAGAACTTGCATACTATTTTAAATGTGAATCATGTTGATCAGTTGGTCTTCGGTTGCTTACATGACCGATATCCATGTCACTATGAAAATATTTGCATATGCTCAGGTAAAATGAGAAGACTCTTCTATGTGCGCCTTCTTGAATTTTGACATTTTCGTTTTTCTTCTCATGCACTGGTTGGCTAAGCTGAACAGCCAATAAGAATGATCTCTCACAACCAAAGTCTCTGACTTAATTTCAACATGCTCAGTTGAACAAAAAGCCACTGAAGGTGGTCCAACTAGTGCAAACGATGCAGAACAAACTGCAAAAACTGGGCTAACAGACACTCATCGATGGCTGCCAGCCCACTCACAGCCTTTAGACAAGGAACATCCAAGAATATTATTTTTCATGTTTACTTCAATACTCACAATTGCAAGGTTGACCCAGGCTGTAGCAAGCTGGGTCAGAGTGGCATCTTCATCTTGGTCTTGCATCTTCTTTAATTCCTTTCTGTGGAGGCAATGAGCAACACAACAGATCAATGAAAATAATATATTTAAAGCCATTAACTAAAAGCAGGTTTAATTTTTGTATTTGTAGCAAAAAACTGAAGTTAAGCTAAATATTTTGTCAAATATATGCTTTTTTAAATAAAACATATACATATACCATTTGTACACACATACAAAACTAAATAATAATTTTTAAAAATGGATAAATAAATAAAAAAATACCTTGCCATATCAACTCTGTCCAACTTCAGAAGTATCTGGACAGTCATGGACATGCTATAAGAGAAATACAAAATGACAATGAGCAACTTATGGACTTGTAATCCAATTTGTGTTAGATTAAATCAACTATTTTTTTAAACTACCAGAAAGTCTCCAGAAACTCACCACTCCAGACTGTCTCCCTGGTGCAGGGTACGTAATGCAGCATCTGTGTTCATCTCATGTAGATAGATGGAAGCCGCCATCAACAGGAAGGTGGTGTTGGAAACATCAACACTCTTGGCCATCTTTTTGTCCAGTTCTGCCACTATTGCATCCCTAAGAAAAGTATTGGGCCATAAGACACATGAATCCGTTTTTACGAAAGCCAGGTTTTACGAAGGTAAATTTAGGTCAATATGTTCTCAAATGGTAAATGTCTAGGGAGCCCACAATAAGTTGCATTAGCATCACTAAGTTTAATGCATACAACTTCCAACAGATCTCCATTACTATATACAATATACTGTGTAAATAATCATTTTTACTGTACCTGCAAAAAAGTGATGTTCTTCCACAGTATTTAGTCTTGCTTTCCAGTACAAATGTCTAAAAAATGTTATATAAAGATACATTTATTTGAGAAGCAAAATGACATAAATCTTTTTTTCTGAATCAAAATTAGATGAGACAACATATTTGTTGTTGCTTTACTCATAGGTTCACTTAATTTCAACAAGATTTCATATCTTCATTTTGCATCTCAAGAAAATGTATCTTGATGTTTAGACATTTGTATTGGAAAACAAAACAAAATCACCAAGAAAGATTCATTTTTTTCCTAGTCTATGTAACATTTAATGCCATAACTTTATGTAAGACCTTTTTAATTTGTGGAAGGGATAATTAAGACTTTTCAAGAACTTTTTAAGACCCACGGAAACCCTGGATTCATTTAATGACAGAACAAATGGCTAATGTGTACGTTTCTACATTTTTTATTATATACGGTTTGAAATAATGAACATACAAAAAAAAAACGTAAGATTGCACAAACCTCTTGCCTTCATTGGAGAGGTACTCTGCAAACATCCTGACAGCCTGCAGCTCCTCAGAGGAGCTGGACTTTATGTCATCCAGTACCACACCATACTTCCTCTAAGACAGAAATCATCACTGTTAACCACCTAGTTATTGATCACCATTTACCAGCACTAATCAATTTTATATAAAATGGACATTCTTTACTGTCTTTGTTGTTCTAAAGGGAAACAGTTGTGTATCTTCATTGATGGGGGGGGGATACATTGTAGCTGACAGTTACATAGAAATATAAATCTAAATTTGTTTGGGTGTTTATTCCGAACAATATCAAAACAACACAGCAGCAGATGAACTTACCTGAGCAATATATGCCCTGTACAGAAAAATGTTCTTCTCAACATCCTTTTCTGGACTTGACGTCTAAAAGAAATATAAAACAATTAGATGTGGTTGTTTGTCATTTGTTAATTACAGTCTTTAAACAGGTACGTGATGTATATGAGCTATAATGTATTAGACGGTAGCTAACAGACATACTCTAGAACCTAAAACTCCTGAGGAAATGTTTTCGTCTCATGAACAATATTTATTTGCAGGACACTCACCTTTACTTTCTGGGCTTCGTTAATGCAGTGTTGATAGCTGCCAATATAAAACGCGTTTTTCACATCGAACAGCTCATCCACTTCATTCTGCTGCGACGCCATGTTTGTGAAGCGTCAACTTTGCCGACGTCACTTGGGCCACGTAACCAGAACGTTTCGCTTCGATTAATTCAATCCGGTTTGTGGATGCTGTCCTCTTGTGGCACCGCAAGGAATAAGCTAACTGCGGCTATTTCGCCAGTCAAGCCCGTTTGATAAGCATATTGTACAGTAAAGTTTGAGGGCCCGTTCAACACATTAAGCGAAAGATCGATTTATCGATCAGGTTTTAGTATCTGTCAACCGCTCCTTGCATGGTGCTGGCAACAATGAAAACAAATGTTTATTTATTCTTGAATATGTGGGCCCTGTCTTGTGTGAAAGGTATCTGAAAAATTATTCTCTCTCTTTTGGTTGCTCCTGTTATGGGTCGCCACAGAAAAGAAAGAAAGAAAGAAAGAAAGTGGGAAGGAGTGGGGGGGTAGGCTAACATTATTCAGAATGAGCTTTATTGCCAGGTATGTTTACACATACCAGGAATTTGTTTTCGTGACAGAAGCTTCCACAGTGTAACAGAATGACAGTGACAAGACAAAAAAAACACAGATAATAAAAAATAAAAAATAAATTAAAAATTAAAAATAGAACAAGTAAATAAGGAATAAAAATATACAAATCGACAATTGTACGTACAGGTATATAACAATAGACAGTTGTATGTACAGGTAGCCTATATTATGTGCAAATTTAAATGTAGACTGAGTATGTGTGTTAGATAAATAAGTGTATGAGTGAATAAATAGTGTGTGTTCCACAGTTTTTGCATCATGCAGTTAAATGTTGCACATGCCCATTATGCATCATGTTAAGGACAGCACATGCCCCAAAATCGTGAGATGTCGAGGAAAACATTCCACTGTAAGTTAAATTAATTGGATATTAAATATAATTTGGTAGTAAAAGCAAGAGTATGTGTATTTTGGACATCGTTTACAAATGATTTTATCACTTAATTACAAGCATCACAATTATTAAATTGTCATCTGTTAGAAGGACTTCTGAACAGACATTTAAAAGTTTATTTTGAAGTGCAATGTATTAAATGTACAAAATGTGTAAATAAGGCTCTGTGAAAACTACTTACATTTTTACAACTGCTATGCTGTAAGTATGTCCCACTGGATAAGTAAAGGTTTTACACACCCACTTGAACACTTGTGCCAAATACAGGAAATATGTCATGTAAGTAGACAAGTGCTCAAGTGCAAAGACTGTAAGTGTGGGTATTGGGACATGCCCATACTTTCTGAATCTGCATCACAGTAAATAACATTTCACACCAGCAGGCGGCAGTAGTCTGTATTCATCTTCAAAAAAAATGAAACCAGAAATAGGATTGCAGATATACAAACCGTAAACAAAGCAGAACTTGCATACTATTTTAAATGTGAATCATGTTGATCAGTTGGTCTTCGGTTGCTTACATGACCGATATCCATGTCACTATGAAAATATTTGCATATGCTCAGGTAAAATGAGAAGACTCTTCTATGTGCGCCTTCTTGAATTTTGACATTTTCGTTTTTCTTCTCATGCACTGGTTGGCTAAGCTGAACAGCCAATAAGAATGATCTCTCACAACCAAAGTCTCTGACTTAATTTCAACATGCTCAGTTGAACAAAAAGCCACTGAAGGTGGTCCAACTAGTGCAAACGATGCAGAACAAACTGCAAAAACTGGGCTAACAGACACTCATCGATGGCTGCCAGCCCACTCACAGCCTTTAGACAAGGAACATCCAAGAATATTATTTTTCATGTTTACTTCAATACTCACAATTGCAAGGTTGACCCAGGCTGTAGCAAGCTGGGTCAGAGTGGCATCTTCATCTTGGTCTTGCATCTTCTTTAATTCCTTTCTGTGGAGGCAATGAGCAACACAACAGATCAATGAAAATAATATATTTAAAGCCATTAACTAAAAGCAGGTTTAATTTTTGTATTTGTAGCAAAAAACTGAAGTTAAGCTAAATATTTTGTCAAATATATGCTTTTTTAAATAAAACATATACATATACCATTTGTACACACATACAAAACTAAATAATAATTTTTAAAAATGGATAAATAAATAAAAAAATACCTTGCCATATCAACTCTGTCCAACTTCAGAAGTATCTGGACAGTCATGGACATGCTATAAGAGAAATACAAAATGACAATGAGCAACTTATGGACTTGTAATCCAATTTGTGTTAGATTAAATCAACTATTTTTTTAAACTACCAGAAAGTCTCCAGAAACTCACCACTCCAGACTGTCTCCCTGGTGCAGGGTACGTAATGCAGCATCTGTGTTCATCTCATGTAGATAGATGGAAGCCGCCATCAACAGGAAGGTGGTGTTGGAAACATCAACACTCTTGGCCATCTTTTTGTCCAGTTCTGCCACTATTGCATCCCTAAGAAAAGTATTGGGCCATAAGACACATGAATCCGTTTTTACGAAAGCCAGGTTTTACGAAGGTAAATTTAGGTCAATATGTTCTCAAATGGTAAATGTCTAGGGAGCCCACAATAAGTTGCATTAGCATCACTAAGTTTAATGCATACAACTTCCAACAGATCTCCATTACTATATACAATATACTGTGTAAATAATCATTTTTACTGTACCTGCAAAAAAGTGATGTTCTTCCACAGTATTTAGTCTTGCTTTCCAGTACAAATGTCTAAAAAATGTTATATAAAGATACATTTATTTGAGAAGCAAAATGACATAAATCTTTTTTTCTGAATCAAAATTAGATGAGACAACATATTTGTTGTTGCTTTACTCATAGGTTCACTTAATTTCAACAAGATTTCATATCTTCATTTTGCATCTCAAGAAAATGTATCTTGATGTTTAGACATTTGTATTGGAAAACAAAACAAAATCACCAAGAAAGATTCATTTTTTTCCTAGTCTATGTAACATTTAATGCCATAACTTTATGTAAGACCTTTTTAATTTGTGGAAGGGATAATTAAGACTTTTCAAGAACTTTTTAAGACCCACGGAAACCCTGGATTCATTTAATGACAGAACAAATGGCTAATGTGTACGTTTCTACATTTTTTATTATATACGGTTTGAAATAATGAACATACAAAAAAAAAACGTAAGATTGCACAAACCTCTTGCCTTCATTGGAGAGGTACTCTGCAAACATCCTGACAGCCTGCAGCTCCTCAGAGGAGCTGGACTTTATGTCATCCAGTACCACACCATACTTCCTCTAAGACAGAAATCATCACTGTTAACCACCTAGTTATTGATCACCATTTACCAGCACTAATCAATTTTATATAAAATGGACATTCTTTACTGTCTTTGTTGTTCTAAAGGGAAACAGTTGTGTATCTTCATTGATGGGGGGGGGATACATTGTAGCTGACAGTTACATAGAAATATAAATCTAAATTTGTTTGGGTGTTTATTCCGAACAATATCAAAACAACACAGCAGCAGATGAACTTACCTGAGCAATATATGCCCTGTACAGAAAAATGTTCTTCTCAACATCCTTTTCTGGACTTGACGTCTAAAAGAAATATAAAACAATTAGATGTGGTTGTTTGTCATTTGTTAATTACAGTCTTTAAACAGGTACGTGATGTATATGAGCTATAATGTATTAGACGGTAGCTAACAGACATACTCTAGAACCTAAAACTCCTGAGGAAATGTTTTCGTCTCATGAACAATATTTATTTGCAGGACACTCACCTTTACTTTCTGGGCTTCGTTAATGCAGTGTTGATAGCTGCCAATATAAAACGCGTTTTTCACATCGAACAGCTCATCCACTTCATTCTGCTGCGACGCCATGTTTGTGAAGCGTCAACTTTGCCGACGTCACTTGGGCCACGTAACCAGAACGTTTCGCTTCGATTAATTCAATCCGGTTTGTGGATGCTGTCCTCTTGTGGCACCGCAAGGAATAAGCTAACTGCGGCTATTTCGCCAGTCAAGCCCGTTTGATAAGCATATTGTACAGTAAAGTTTGAGGGCCCGTTCAACACATTAAGCGAAAGATCGATTTATCGATCAGGTTTTAGTATCTGTCAACCGCTCCTTGCATGGTGCTGGCAACAATGAAAACAAATGTTTATTTATTCTTGAATATGTGGGCCCTGTCTTGTGTGAAAGGTATCTGAAAAATTATTCTCTCTCTTTTGGTTGCTCCTGTTATGGGTCGCCACAGAAAAGAAAGAAAGAAAGAAAGAAAGTGGGAAGGAGTGGGGGGGTAGGCTAACATTATTCAGAATGAGCTTTATTGCCAGGTATGTTTACACATACCAGGAATTTGTTTTCGTGACAGAAGCTTCCACAGTGTAACAGAATGACAGTGACAAGACAAAAAAAACACAGATAATAAAAAATAAAAAATAAATTAAAAATTAAAAATAGAACAAGCAAATAAGGAATAAAAATATACAAATCGACAATTGTACGTACAGGTATATAACAATAGACAGTTGTATGTACAGGTAGCCTATATTATGTGCAAATTTAAATGTAGACTGAGTATGTGTGTTAGATAAATAAGTGTATGAGTGAATAAATAGTGTGTGTTCCACAGTTATTGTTAAGTGTTCATGAGATGGATTGCCTGAGGGAAGAAACTGTTCCTGTGTCTGCTCTGTAGCGTCGACCAGATGGCAACAGTTCAAAGAGGGAGTGTGCTGGATGTGAGGGGTCCAGAGTGATTCTGCCAGCCCTTTTGCTCACTCTGGATGAGTACAGTTCTTGGAGAGAAGGGAGGGTTGTACCAATGATTCGCTCAGCAGTCCGGACTACCCTCTGTAGTCTTCTGAGGTCAGATTTGGTAGCTGAGCTGAACCAGACAGTTATTGAAGTGCAGAGGATGGATTCAATGATGGCGGAGTAGAACTGTTTCAGCAGCTCCTGTGGCAGGTTGAACTTCCTCAGCTGGCGAAGGAAGTACAACCTCTGCTGGGCCTTTTTCACAATGGAGTCTATGTGAGTGTCCCACTTCAGGTCCTGAGAGATTGTGGCGCCCAGGAACCTGAATGACTCCACTGCAGTCACAATGCTGTCCATGATGGTGAGTGGGGGGAGTGCAGGGGGGGTTTCTCCTGAAGTCCACGGTCATCTCCACAGTTTTGAGCGTGTATTGAGTGTGTCACAATATTATGTGTCCGTTTCTGCCACTGAATAATTTAAAAAAAAAGGGTAATTGCGAGTTTTTAACTCACAATTCTGACATTCTTCTCAGAATTGCGTAATACAAACTCACAATTGTGACTTTTTTCAGAATTGTGAGATACAATTCTGAGAAATGAAATCAGAATTGCAAGATATAAACTCACAATTCTGACTTCATTTCTCAGAATTGATAGCCTAGGCCTATATGATATAATATAGGCTAAACTCAAAATTGCGAGTTATAAAGTCAGAATTGCGTGATAAAAACTCGCAATTCTGACTTTTTTCTCGCAATTGCGAGTTTATGTCTTATATACAATTATATATAATTGTGAGATATAAAGTCGCAATTACTTTTTGTTTATTCAGTGGCGGAAACAGGCTTCCTACATTTGTATTTGTTTGGATGTCAGGGTCAGAATTCACATAAATGATCCTACAGTTAAGACAGCTGTCGTGTTTGAAACCAACATACAAAAACAGCATTTGTATAATTGGACTTTTGTTTTTAAAACTTTAGTTACTGAGCTACAGTAGCCTACATAACCCTTTTGACAACTTCCCCATGTGACAATATTAGCCCCATGGCTCCCCTATATCTTTAGTAGACTAATTTCAGTGTACAAATAATTAAAATTTGAAAGTTCACCAGTGTTTTTGTTTTGGGCTGAAAAAAAAATGCACTGATGATTTGTTTCCTACAAATGTACAGCTTTTTACTTTACAAGATGTGAATTGATGGGCTGGAGTCGTGTGGATTACTTGTTGGTTTTTATGAGCTGTTTTTTAGCAACCATTCACTGCAGAGGATCTAAAGGTGATCAAGTGATGTAATGTTAAATGTATCCAAATTTATTCCAATAAAGAAAGAATTTTCAGTTTTGGGAGAACTATTCCTTTAATATTTACAAAATATTCAGAAGTATGTCATCATATCACAAGTTTGAATTTTCCTAGTCCTTATTCTCCTCTTTTTTTTTCGGCTCATTGAAACTTTGCTCACTGCATCTCTCTAACATCTTATGTTACAGTATAGTTTAGTTCTTTGCAAACAAACTGGAAAATGTATGATTTTTTACAGATGTTTACATACTGCCAATAGGATTTTTTTTTTCATTCAGTACAGATACTGATAGGGTAAACTGAGTACAGTTGTAACACGTTTTATACACAGTACAAATAATATTCGCACACATTCAGGAAGGGTGTTGCTGGAATTTAGTAACATGGGGCTTAGCCTACAAGGAAATATAGCCTATGGGAATATAGCAAAATAAAAAAGGAAATGCCAGTTTTTATTAAGTCTGAGTTGGCCCTTCAATTTAACACCTGTGTCGTAGTGATTAAGTTCACTGCAGCAAGCAAATAAATATTTTTTTGATGTCAGGAAGGGTGGTAACATGGTTAACATTTCACAGCAAAAAACATATTGTAAACTGTTAAATATATATTAACCCAATACAGTGCCTCAAATATGGATGCACAATACAGATACTGTGTTCATACCTGTTAACAGGCTCAGATATCAAAAACTGATACCGTGATACTGATACCATAGTCATAAGTTGTTACCATAACATATATGTAATCTAACATAATTCAAAGGAATAAAAAACAATAAATATACACAGGGTTCGTGACATCATTCCTGAACCATCATTCAACATTATAACAATGAAGAAAGCAATGTCTCAAATTTTGAGGTCAGGGTGTAATTCAGTAAAGCACAAGGAACTGCTCTTACAAAGCTAGCACCCATTCCATTATAAAAACCTCTGACTCCATATTTCTCATAGATTCCAAAGAGTCCTTGAAGAGCATCTGTAGGCTTCTGAGAGTTTGAACAGAAAGCTGAAATTGTGAGGGGGAAAAACAACAACATATGGATCAAATCATTTTTAGTAAATGCTACAAGACAAATATTGTACAACACGTTTGTACAGTCTGGGACTGACGATTGTATTTACTAACAGGAGAATATTTACTCTTCTTGAACTGTCCTGTTAAAAGAGCTTACTGCACCTGCTCGAATACTCTCTGTATAAAAGAACAACTGAAGGTCAAGCTCTTTGCTGTTTTTGCCCTCAAACCTGTGAATAATGCTTGCTACCACAGAGACTAAAATGTATTAAAAAAAATAGCAACTTCTGTAACACTGTGCTTTAATTGACAATGTTATTTAACAAACTGTATGTGAACAGAGCTGTATTTAGTGCTCTAAAACAAGACTGATAGCCATGCATATTCTAAAAATTTTAAAAATTTTGCAAGATTGTACAGCACAAATACCACTTAGTAAAAGCCTTAGAAGACATTTTTGTTGATTGAAGAAAACATTCATCCAAGTAATTATCATCAGTTCAGGTTAATATTCACCTTGTGCTTGCTGGTGTGTTCGGATGACCGCAAGAGGATAACTGGTGGCCTGTCCTGATGCAAATGCTGCAAAACTGAAGAGGAAGAGCTTGGAGTCACTGAAGTGCTCTGGATCCTGTCTAGCCCAGCTCATAATTGACTGCCAGAGGAGAAAGGTTTCATGTTATATGGCAATAATTGTTGGCATGGACATTTTTTTTTTAATTTTTTTTTTTAGAATAAAAGATACATGACTTTTAAAGATCAACCAATATAACTTTGTGTGTGTGTAAATACAGTGGGTATAGAAATGAATCACCCCCCTTTAAAATAATCACATTTTGTTGCTTTGCAGCCTGAAATGAAGACGGACACAGTTTTTGTTTTATCCAGCTGTATTTACTCAGTGCAACTTATAACATCCAAGTGAAAGATATAACACCAACTTTTCAGAAACAAAAATAAAAATAAAAAAACTGAATCACTGAGTTGGAGAAAAGATCACCCCCTTGTGGCAGTATTATGTTGAACCATCTTTTGCTTTAATAACAGCCTTTAGTCTGTTGGGATATGCCTCAACTAACTTTGCAGTGCACATCTAGACTTCGCAATATTTGCAGAACTGCTCAAGTTCAGTTAAATTTGATGCTGACTGTTTGTGGACTGCAGTCTTCAAGTCATTCCACAGATTTTTCAATGAGGTTTAGGTCTGAGCTCTGATGAGGCCATGCAAGGACATTACTTTTTCTCATTCAACCACTGTGCTCAGTTCTGCTGTGTGCTTTCTTTCATTGTCATGTTGGAAGCTAAACCTTCTTCCCACTGACAACTTTCTGGCAGAGGGCAGCAGATTTTCCTGAAGAATTTGACATTATTTTGCCCCATCCATTTTTCTTTCTATCCTGACAAGTGCTCCAGTCCCTGCTGCAGAGAAACACCCCATAACAGGATATTACCACCT